CCTCAGGGCATAAGGAGTCTGTCTGTGGAGAGGAGAGGGGGAGGGGCTGGAGACACAGGGCAGGGGACACTGGGTGGTACTCAGGGCGGGGGGTGGGGGGGAGCAGGAACGCCAAGGCACAGCACAGGCCGGAGGTGCCCTGGCCTCCGTGACCCAGGCTTGCTACTGCACCTCCAGGCTCCCTGAGCTCTTGGGACTCCTGACCCCGTGGGAGGGGCTGGCCCCAGCAGGACCTGGACCAGCCCCCTGTCCACCTTCATCCTAGGCATCCTGCTCCCGTCACCAGGCCTTTGCCCCAGCTGTATCCCCTCCTCGGGCTGTCCTCCTAGACCAGTGGTTCTCAACCTTGGCTGCACATTAGAATCACCTGGGAATCGTTTTAAAATCCTGATTCCTGGGCCTCATCCTCTGGAAATTCTGTTTCTTTGTTACTAATGATGTGGCCCCACCCCATAACAAAGAAACAGAATTTCCGGAGGATGGGGCCCAGGAATCAGGATTTTAAAAAGATTTCCAGGTGATTCTAATGTGCAGCCAAGGTTGAGAACCACTGTCCTAGACCCTTCCCTGCTTCCTGTCCCCCGCCCCCCCACCCAGGTGGCCTCCTCAGAGCCAAGTGCTCTGCCCCTCGCCCTCGTGTGTCCATCCTCAAAAGTATCTCGCCAGGAGCGAGGTGGTAACCGGTGTCCTGCATGTTGTACACAGAGGTGGGCCAGGCCTGCCCCAGCTCCTGCCTGCCTCCCAAACTCATGGGACATCACCAAGGTACTGCAAGACAAGCCGCCATCAAGCCAGTGGGTGTGTCTGTCGGTGCCCTTGTCATGGTTCTGATGGTGGCTGAGTTCCTGCGGCTCACCAGTGTCGGCCCCAACACCACGACCAGCCACCCTGCTCCTCAAGGCCCCCACATGGGGCAGCTCCGTCACCCATCCTCAGTTAAACACTGGAGCTGGCCATTCGTGCCATGTTGGGACCCCTGCCCCTTGACCTCTACCCCAGCCACGCCTCCAGGAAGCCCTGTCCCCCATAGTGGCTCAAGGTGGTGGCTCTGTGAGTCCCCGGTGTTTGGTCAAGGAGCAGTGATGCCACTGCCCGGGACTGTTACTGAGACCGCCCTGCCTGGCCCCACCGCCTGAGGGGCTGCCCGTCTCCTCCCCAGGCCCCCCGGCCTCCACTCTGGCCACCCCAACTCTCCAGACCCAGCAATACCTACAAATATTTTTTGTTTTCATAAACGTCGTGCAGCTTGAGGACGTGGGGGTGTTCGATGAGCTTCAGGATGGCGATCTCCCGCTCCACCTGCAGAGGAGGAGGGCATCACACGTGCTTGCCTGTGGGGCGTGGACCCCGGCCTCGACCTCCCCCTCCCCAGGAGCCTCGGCTGCTGGGAACACAGAGGGGAGGTGTGGGCCCAGCCCCTTGGGGGCACCGCTGTGGGCTCTTGGGTGCAGCTGGGGCTTTGGGGCAAGGCCAGTCTAGCCACAGGGTCTCCACCTGTGGGATGGCCTGGCCTACACGGCATCACACACAGCCCCAGGGGTGTCAGGGCTACCTCCAGGCCCCTGGCCCAACTGCCTGTGGTCCCTGCCAGGCCTTCAGGGGGATGGGCCCCAGTTATATCCCCAATCCCTTTCCCCCAGCTCCTGTCTCTCCACTTGGACATCTCAGAGTCCCAGTCGGAGTCCAGGACCTCAGCCAAGTGCTCCCCAAGGCAGGTCAGAATGCACCTGGCCCCACCGGCACTGCCCCGCCCAGCCAAGCAGCCGCCACCTCCCCTAAAATCACCCACCTCCGGTCCCTCGGGGCTCCCCAGGCGAACCCGCCCCAGTCCCCCTCTACCCTCAGCAGCCAGAGGGGTCCTCACGGACGTCACTGGCCCTCCCCCACCTAAGCAGAGTGCTGTCCTCACCCACCTGGGTCCCTTCACTGCAGCAGAGCCCTTGGCCTGCCTGTGGCACTGACCGCAGGGCCAGCTCCCACCCCACTGGCCCTGCCTGCCCCGCCCTCGCTCACCTTCATCAGCACAGACTCACTGAGCTTCTCCCGATTGACGATTTTGATGGCCACCTTCTGGCACGTGACACAGTGAATGCCCAGCTTCACGAGGCCTGTGGGGAGAGAAGCCCGTCAGACCCACCCAGGGCCTTGCGGACCCTCAGACGTGCCTCACCCCAGAGTGGTGGGGGGGGGGGGGCGCGGGCTTGACCAGGAGGGATGCCACTCACTCCCGACCACAGCCCCTCCAGGTCTGGCCTCTGCCCCACCCTGCCCTTCAGTGTGCCTCGAGCTGGACTCCTGTGGCCACTGTCTGCCCTCCCACACTCCCTGGTCACAGCCCAGGACAGCTCTGCCCCTCCCCCACCCCTCTCCCATGTGGGTGACGCTGAGTCCCTCCCCCGGGCCTTCAGCTGCCCAGATGCCCCCTGCAGGGGAGCTTGGTGCCCTCAGGCCCAGGAGGCCCCACC